AATGGTACAGTTTAATCAAAAAGGAAAGGCGAAGACGAATGTAATCCTTTCTTTTAGTCTCAATGCACTTCAATGTTCAGAATGTAAATAAAAGAAGATATATAGCTCTCATGCCCAGAAATTCATTCTAATTGCAGTCCAATGCCAGTTCTAAAGACGTTATTTTGAACAAGGACACATAACACTACTTTATGTACTAGTAAATCAACCAATTGAATTTAATGTTCAGAATATATACAAAGAAGATTCATATTTTCTATCAACAGATTACCATCCATTGCCAGTTCTAATGAGATTAATTTGGTTATAAATGCTTATAAGACTATTAGACTATCCTACATTTTATCACTATCATGCCTTTATAGAAAGTAATTAGTGTTTGCGCTTTTTAATAAAATGAATAGAAATGTATTGACTTAATAAGTTAAGCTCACATCATTTTTATAAAAAAAAAAGTAAAACCTTTTCATTTGATTTTTTGATTATTATTATTTTCAATAATTCCTATTATGTTGCTATCATATGTTAGTTTGGTAAAAAAAAAAGGTTTTATTACCATTCAATTGGTTGCGTAGCATTTAACGTTTATATACATATATTTTATATATATAACTGCGGTCTGGAAAATAGTAGTTTTTTTTGCTTATCAATCAAAATTTTTTTTAAAACCACTTTTCCATTTTTTTTTTTTATTTTCATGAAGCTAATACTTTTTAAAAATAAATGAAGCACATATAAAAATCGCATTTATCATAGTTTATTTAAAATATTTAAAAAAAAAATTGTGAACAAAAATTTGTTCATTTCTAGTTTAAAAACTAGGTCAGATATTAAAAATATTTGTATTCCAACACAATGCCGTTAAGCCGTTTAATCAATTATTTTTAAAGAAATCAAGTCAATACAGATGTATTATGGCTATTGGAATTTAATACTATTATTTTATAAAAGTAGAATATTGTTGTTAAAAAATTTCAATTAAGTCATCAAGTTAAATCTAAGCCTAGACATAAACACAAAATTTGTGCAAAAGTATAGAAGTAATTACACAAATATTATGTGTCAAATTTGAAACAGAAGGTGGTGATTCCTTTTGGAAATAATAATCATTTTCGACATAGTTTGTAGCACAAAATAATCTTTTTGGTAACTTGGGTTATTAACCCACTTAATGACTAGAGCCGAGATCAATAAAATGCATCGCTTATGTCACGCTTTTAGCTTACCCCGCAAAATTCTCGCCCAGATCGTTGCGTTCGTAATAGGAAACCAGTTCGACGATGGTCTTGAAATGCCGGCGCGAGGACAGGCAGTAGAGCATGGAATCGCCGGAGTTCTCCTGGTTGATTTTCATATGTTTGATCACATGATCATCGGTCCTACGGACAACAGACAACAGAAAGACAGCATGGCATTGCATGGATTGAATAAACCCAATGAACATTCAACTCACTTCAGGCTGAGGGCGTACATCGTCTCGTGGGCCGTCGACGGACCCTGGGGACGCACGCGCAGCAAGTAGGTGCCGATGCGTCGGTTCTCCAGCCGATGGGCCGCCGTCTCCCGGTCCATGTTGCCCGCAAACCAGTTGAACTCGGACAGCTGGCGATCGCAGACGGGCGGCGGCACACTCACCGGATTCTGTTTGCAACGCCCCGTCGACGAGATGCAGCCCTTGTGAACGCTGATCTGGCACACCTTGCACCGATAGCCCTGGTGGATGCGGCCCTTGAGGAACTTGGAGCAGTGCCGGCACGTGGTCGGGGCGTCGAAGGTGTAGATCTCCATTTTGTGGTCCGTACTTCGGCAGCCAGGCGGCTCGAGGCTTTCCCTGTGATTAGAAGTTTATATAAGTTAATCTCTCTTTAATACAAAGAAGCCTTAACACACTATTTTAGTGCAATAACGCCTGCACATAAAAGTAGGCATCCTATTTTTACATACACAATATTTGTTAAGCATTAAAGAAACATAAAATCAATATTTTGTATTCGATATTTAAAAAAAAAATTATTTTATTATTTTGTAATATTTAAAAAACGAAAAGTGCAATAAAGAGAAAGTTTGCAGGAGTAAACAACTTAACAACTTAACTTTTTAAGTCTAACGTTTCACATATTTTGAATGTGTAAAAAGTTTTAATTAGAAAATATTTGAAATATGTAAGAACTTAGTTGTTGAAACAGGCAATCTGATCAAAAATATTTCTCCCTTCAGAAATTTTTGTTTTTTTCCATCGAGACAATGAAAACACAATTTTCTTTTTTTTCAGTTTGAGAATAAATCGTTTGTTTTTGCCCTGAATGTTGATGTTTTTATAGTGTTCCGAACCTATCCCTAGATATTTGATCAAAATCAGTTAAATACACAGAACTTTTTGTATACATGTGTACAGTGATAATGTTAAAAAATCCAGCCGATCGGACAACTATTTCCTATATATTTAATAAATGATAAATTAAGAAAAAAAGTAGTGGAAGTTTGGAAGTGGTGTAGCAAAGTTGACAGCATATACTCACATGGCCTCGGTGAGGGCCTTGCGCCACTTGTCCCGCTCGTGCTCCGACTTGAGGTACAGGGTGAAGGCGGTCTTGCCCGACTTGCGGGCGAGCAGCAGCTGGTACTTGAAGCGCGTGTCCCGGCCGAGGGTGCGCCGCGAGTGGCTCTGCTCGACGCGATAGTCGGCCAGGTTGTGCGAGTCGCGGTAGTTGTACTGCATGTCGCCCGTCTTGATGTGCAGCGCCTTCACCATAATGAGGATCTTGTCGAAGACGAAGGCGTAGCGCAGTTTGGTCTTCTGGTCCTCGTGCGCCTTGATGTGCAGCTCGCCGTCGAGGAGCAGGCGGCCGTACTGCAGCAGATCGCCGCCGTTGCCGTTCTGCAGCAGTTGCAGATCGAAGATGCTGTCCTTGACCTTCTGGATGATCACCAAGTGGTCGGAGTCGCGCTTCACCTCGTTGATATACTGCGACACATCGATCATGGCCTCCTTGGCCCGCTCCAGCGAGCGGTAGTCGTCGTGCAGCGGCGACGTCTCCTTCACCAGCTTGTCCAGCAGCAGATGGTACTTGAGGATGCGCTGCATCGGCACCGACAGTATGTCGCGCAGCTGCAGCTTGCCCACGTTGTAGTCGCGCTCGCACTTCTGCACCAGCTGGTCGATGATCTGGTTCTTCTTGCACACGTCTGCCAAATAGTCGATGGCGGCCAGCAGACACGAGCAGTACTCGCCATAGATGAGGAACGGTTCGCGGAAGTCGAGGAAAACCTGGGCCATCTTCACCTTGGCATTGGGCGTCAGCGATTCCCTCAGTTTGTCCAGGAACCTTGTGTGGATGTCGGCCAGCTCCTGTGAATATGGTACGCCAATTAAGTAAGTAAATAATTCAATTGAAATTATAACTAAAAAGAAGGTAATGTTTATATGACTCGACTTTTAAATACCCTACACTCTGTTGACCAACTGCCGCCGGCAGATGGCGCCACCATTTCTAAGGCTAATTTGTCATCTTGTACACCAAATAAATCATTAAAATAAAAATTAAAACTCATAAATACGTTACGTTATCAGATAACCGTCACTATGCTAATTAATTTCAAAACAAATATGCAAGATATTCCATCATTTGTTGGGTAGATATGGACAAAGTTTGTGAATCGGTACTGGTAAAAACTAATGAAAAAAACTAATTGAGACAGTACGTCTTAACAAAAAAAAATAAATAAAATAAAATAGAATATGGAACACATTACGAATTTACCCATTTGCCGTGACTTTAAAAATGAAAATGCGCATACATATATTCTCTTCTGCTTTGATAGCAAAATGTGTACTTAAATTGGTTGACAATTTTAAAAGATATAATCAAACATATGAATAACAAATGTGATTGTCTTAAATGAAAACAAAATGCACATTCCATATAGAAGAGCCTTATTTATTATAAAAACTTCTGTTGCCCTGCATTATATTTAATTTAATTCTAAAAAAAATTTGTTTGGAATAAACATATACCGACAAATAAGTGACCTTTGTCAACATGGTTTCGCGATTTGTGGTAGATAGACATACAAATACTTTTCAACGCATAAAAAATCATAACGGATAACTCACTTTAATCCGCGGAAAAATGATACGCAGCCCGTCCTCATTGAGATGACGCTCCAGCGGAGCCATAAACTTGGTCTTCAGTGCGGTGAGCACGTCCAGATAGTTGGACTCCGTGTCGATCAGCTCCCGGATGACGTAGTCGCGCTGCTCAAAGCTCGTCGACGAGGCGGTCTAGAGGGGAAAGACGGAGAAGTCCAGAGATTAGGGCGGTCAGGAAGCAAGCGACTGGGCCACCAAAGTGTCTCATGCACGGACAGGCGTCGCAATTCTACCTGGCTTCTACTCGTCCTGTGCAGGGCGCACAGATCTTGGTACACCTCCTCTTCTTTTGTGTTGGTGTGGTCGTAACCGGTTCCATTGCATGCAATATTGTCGGTGGTACTAAAACAAAAAGGAAATAAATGCCAAAGGAAAACATAAAAAATCATAAAAAACGTAGGCAAGTTTCTTTTTGGGGGGAGGGGGCTTCCTATTGATTCAAATGAAAAAATCGTCCGAAAAACTATTGCAAAACATATAAAAGGGCACGACATCAAATCAGATATCTCTCTTGCAGGGTTTCAAAATTTTCTTACTAAACGGTCTTAAATCTGGCTTACAGATATATATATTTAAAATAACTAATGAAATTATACGATTATTTGTTCTGCATATCTGAATAGCTAATTTTATTTCTTATTTGTCGTTTAAAGGAATGCAGTAAAATAAATAGGTTTGCCTGCAAAAAAATTAAAAAACCCATTTATCAACATACACAATAAAGAAATAAGTTTAATTTCTACCAAACGTGCAATTTAAAAAGAAATTTGAATACGATAGGCCGACAGCCGTTGGCCCGATAATCGATTATCGCCACTGTTAACTAACAGTGCGATTAACAGGGCGATAGAATTCAACTAGGTGGCAGCCTTGGCCGGGCAACCAGAACATCTGTGGCAGAACAATAAAAAAAAAATAAAAAGAAAAGAACTGTGTGGTTTCGGGATTTCATTTTTATTGGCCCCCAAAATCACGATTTTTGGACTCCCGCTCGCTCCGCACTGGGCACAAAAGGGGAGGAGCTGCAGCCGGGAACTATGGACCACCACACGTACGCCAAAAGTGGATCCAAAAAGTGTAGGCAACAACAACACGTGTTCTGATTGCACGACCTACGAATGCACTAATTCCGCATTTTTCTCTTCTACAATTGGCATTTATATTATTCAGGGTCCGCGGAGGAGAAACGCGACCTGGTGGTGCAAAGGATCGCGGCGGATGAACTCTTCTCCCGGTATTCGCCCAAGCACGCGGAACCATGGAAGTGAGTTTCTTGGTTATATCCACGAGGAGAACTGGCGAAATGGTGAAGTGGGTCTAGAATCCCTCAGAAATACTAGCCATCGGGGTCACCAATTGTGCTTTGGGCATAAATCTGGGAAACCTATTTGTGGAACTCAGGTCTTGTAGCACCTAACAATGCAGATATTTGTTTAAAAGGGGATTAATAGGGAAGCCTTTGGTTTTGTTCAGAAATAACAATATGATTCTCACAACTTTTACCAATATTCGTGTTAAAAAATTGTTCTGTTTTCAAATGTGTACAATGGCACATTTATAAAGAATGCTTTAAGCTCCTAACCTTTCACAATTTAAAACTTGCAACCTATTTCCTTAACTTGCATTTTAAAAAAAAGGAATGTGAATTAATTATTAAAGAACAACAAAATTGTATAGACCTTAGACTTCTGAAAGTTTTTAAAAACTAAAAGCTAAACTAGAACTAGCGGTAAAATTGTTTGTTTACAACTTTGAATAGTTGTTATCTAAAACTTCGTATAAGATTTTAGTCTATATCCAACTATTAATTAGTTTATGAGTTACAAACATAAAAAAATTCGATTGCCAATAGAAAATGAATAATAATAATAATAACCTTTCAAACCAATTTAAAGTACAAACTCTTCCCGACAAATTCTATAAAAAGGCTTAAAGTATTTCTCAGCATTGAATTGTGATTCTCAAGAGCAAACATTTTTAAATTGTGGCTAATGAGCTTAAGACGACTCCAATCGTCTTTATAATATCATAACCAATCCTGATCTCTTTGCATATATCAATCGGTAAATCAGTAAAAAATACTTTTTATATCCCTTTAGAAAATTCAAGGACATGGCCAAAATTGGCGACTTCAGCGAGATTGCGCTGCGCAAGCAATGGTTCTCCATGGTGCAACGCTATCGCATCCACAAGGCAAACGCACTTGGAGGCCCGCTCAACAAGCAGAGCATCGAGGAGCTGAACAAGGAGTGGGAGTTCTTTGGCCTCATCCATGCCTACATGAACCAGAAGACCGCCGACCTGCACTCGTATGCGCTCAAGGAGCCGAATGTGGAGCCACCCAACAACAACCTGGCCATCGCCAGCGTCTATTCCTGCGACGAGGCGCAACTTTCGCCCCTGATGTTGGGCGTGCTCAACGATCACAACTTTGGCGAGCGATCGCCGCCAAACGAGGGCGATACCACCGACGACATGGACGACTCAGCCGCCGCATCGCCCTGCCATCGGAGCAGGGCCAACATCGCCAGCATTGCCCAGCACAGCAACAACGATGAGCTGGACAGGCTGCTGGCCGAGGCCACCATGCGCAAGGATGCCGGTGAAGGCGGAGGCGGTGGCGGTGGCGTTGGCGGATGCGGAGACTGTGAGAATGCGGGCGAGGATGTCTGCATGACCACCACCTGCCACGAGATGGAGTGCGGCCCGGTGATGATCGGCGGCGAGGTGTCCCTCTCCAACAGTCGCTACAACGACGGCTTTGATGAGTCCTCGACGGCAACAACAACGACAACGGTCGTGAAGACCGAGAAGCTGGAACAGCAGCCTCCAAGCGAGTTGGTGGCCAAAACGGTGAGGAAACGCCACCACCAGCGCAAGGTGCTCAGCGAGAAGGACAAGTATTACAGGTGAGTCAATCGGCAAACTGAGTGAATTGTGCATTTAAAACTGAATCGAACAACTTTTCATTTGAAAACAAATCTATTCTCTGGAGCAACTTAACTTTGATAGCTGTTTTTGCTGCTTAAAACAAAATATAAAACCTTAGAAAAATAAATAATATTTAATAATCCTTTTTGAATGCATATTTAAAGATTAATTAAAAAAAAAAAAAATTAATCGGTTTTCTAGAGCAACTTAACTTTATAGCTATTTTTGCCAAGTATAAAACATTAGAAAAATAAAAAAAACTTCAATTGAAAATAAATCTGTTTTCTAGGGCAACTTAACTTGGATAGCTAAAAATATAAAAACATAAAGTAATAAACATTTTTAAAATCTTTTTTGAATGCATATTTAATTGAAAAACTTATTAATTGAAATTGAATCGGTTTTCTAGAGCAACTTTTCTTTTTTTCTTCTAATAAATTTGAGAATACTTTAAAAGAAAACGTTCTTATATTCAATCAAAATATGTGAACATTTTAAGTGCAATCAAAACTGGAAGTACATTTTTTGGAAATGATATTAGTTTTAGCTAATCTTGTTTACTTAAATATAATTTAAATACTGAACACATTTAAATGGCGTACAATAAACTAAAGAGAAAATTGTACAAACTTTACCAAACTTAGAGGCACTTGTTTCTATGTTCCCCAAGGACTCAAATTTCACTCACTCAATAGATTTGGAAACTAAGAGTAAAATCAACTAATTAATTAACTTAACTGTTGCAGGCATCGTCGTCTCTACGAGCAGCGAATGGAAAAGCGTCTGATGGGCTTGTGCACCGTGGTGGGTCAGCTGCTAAAGCAGTTTGCCCCCGACATGGATGTGCAGCCACTTCTGGCCTTGGGCAGCCAAATGGCCCTCAACTCGCCGGCACCGAGTAGCAGTGATGGAAACGAGGAGGAGGACCAGGATGAGCATGAAGACCAGAATGAGCAGGAGGAGCAGGAGGATGCAGATGCGAATGCCATGTCACTAAGAATCTAAGCGGACATTCGAAGCATATTGCTCCACTTCGGACAACTGATTGTTAGTTCCTATCTGTTTCTCCACATTGGAATCCCATCTCAATTGTATTTCTTACAATTCGCAAGCGAAGTATAGATAGACACGTTAAGTGATAACGAAAACTGAATACATTAATCAAATGAAAGAATGTAAACACTAGATAAGCAGAAAGCAAACCAAATACAATGCGTATGGAAATGTAAAAAGACTTGAACAATTAATGGGGCTAATAATTGAAAAGCAATATGGTAAGGTTCCCAACTTGTCAATACTGCAGTTTCAAAAAATGTACTTTGTTAAAAGTTAGTGTAATGGTAGATATTATGTATAATACCAATAAAACAAAGACACATTTGGGTAATAGATAATGCCAAATAATAATAGGATAATCACGTGAAACGCGAAAACAATATCATTAGCCATCGGACAGACGAGTTGTTAGTTGTTAATGGGTTTCCGTGCTTCGGCCTTTTCTCGCCGCACATCCCCGATTGACAGGCAGAAGCTATTGGTTATGGATCGATATGGTTTGGGGTTTTCCCATCTGCTTGGTGCTTCGATGATGACTGTGCCGAACTACTTTTGCAATATGCTCCCACATCCCAGCTGGGTAACACAATGGTTACTGAAATAGTGTGGAAAGTAGTTGGCATGGCAAGCACTTCCGGTGGCTATCTATGTTTCCTCGATCGGTGTCAAGTGGGGGGGGTCGATAACCCATTGCATTCCCGTTTTGGATCAACCAGAAGCAGAAGAGCGGGAAGAAAGTGGCGCTCGGTGTGATATGGTATGTGTGTTATATACTCTATATGCTATGGGGTATATTTCGTGACCTCTAATCTCAGGGATGCGGGGGGGTTCGTTGGTGGGTGGATTGGTGGATTGGTGCGCGTCCGGGTGGGTTAGTGGTTGGTTTGGTTGGTTGAGTGGTTCGAGTGTTTCGAGTGTTTCGGGTGACGGGAGGCAAGCTAAATAAGCTCAAGCGCAAGCAAGACAAGCTGTGAATTGTGGGCATGGGCATTGGTGCAGGGCGGTTTCTTACGGCTACTTGGTATCTAAGGGATCAAGCATTCGACGGATGGATATGGGCGGCAGGAAGAAGAGGGGAGGAGGAGGCGAAGTGTCGGGAAAGGAGATAAAAGGCTGTTACACAAGACGATACACTGGGGTGGGTCGATCTTTACGGACAAAATCGTAGGAGCAGAAGGTAATCTGTGAGCTGTTTTATGGTTACCGCTTCTAAAAACTGAAATATATTCGAATTTCAACTATCAGTTAAGTTACTTGAACTTATAGATTTAATCTAAGCCAATGAAGACGAAGTGTTAAGAGCTATTAAATTGCAAAAACTGTCAGTTAGGATTTAGAAAAAAAAATAAAAGGAAGCCAATTTGGTTATCCGAAATATATAATACGCTTTCAATTAAAGAACACTTTACTTAATGCACTAATTGCTATTTAAAACGTTGTGTACCACTCTATTAAATTTGTTAATGCTTCTATATTAAACCAGATAAGGTGATTTCGTTGTTAAATTGCTAAACGTTGACTAAATTGGTTTCATTTAAAAAGTATTTTGGTCATTTTACTTGTACGATTTTTATTTAACACAAATTTTAAAATTAATTGAAAATTATATCTCATGTCCTTCGCATATGTACAAGTGTAAAATTTTGTATTCATTGTCCAAAGAGTTACTTCATAAATACTTATTGAAACAGCAAAGTTACTTCATAAATACTTTTTCAAACAGAAATGATACTTTCGTTAAAGTTTCTTTTGGACATTTTTAAAAGTCGAAGACGGATTCGGCTGATGTTCTTGACTAAAAATATATATTATTGTTTTCTTAATTGCGTTGCCAACTTCTGACTAAGAAACATTGCCTATAACAGCTTTCAGATTACATTTCGTTCCTAGAATTTTTAGTATATTTCCAACAAGTCCGAACTGCAAAGCAACTGACTATTTCCAAACATAACATACAATTTTTAATTGAATTTAGATCTGATTTAGCGAGTATGAAAAGTGGCCAAAATAATAAGACTATAAGATTTATATTTTTGTGCATGGAACTTCCGTTGCTTTGGTCTTGGCTTGTTGAGTTCGCTTTCGATTCATGGCGGATCGATCCCACCCCGCTGGACACAAAGACAGTTAATATGATGGACAGCACACCTCGGGTTTGGCCTTGGCCTGGAAGGTGACGTAGCACAGGTCCTCGTAGACCTTCTCGTCGTCCTCGCTGTAGATGTAGGCGTACTCGTGCTCCGTGGACGCCATCGAGGAGCGGTAGTTGTAGACGGCGGCGGCCGCCCGCTGCAATCGCTGACTTTCGCTGATCAAAAGCGACGACGAGGAGGAGGATGTGGACACCAGCCGGCTCGTTGGTGGCCCGGCAGTCGTTGATGACGAAGTGACTGCGACGGCTCCGTCGCCCAAGGGCGATTCGCATTGTCGGGCAAAGGATTCCGGAGTGGGCGTGACCGCATTGGAGGCGGAATCAATCGTGGTGGAGCTAACCACATCCAGGGTAAGATCGAAGGAGAGGTTCCTTTCGCCAGCCAGCAGCGGTGTCTCCACGCTCGCATCATCCAAATCATTTTCGATGGTCGAGTCGCACATATTGGAGAGCGAGTCCTCGATGTAGTCGTCGATGTCCTCGGTGCCGTTCTCGATGGTTATGTCGCTGTTCTCGTCCAGCGATCCACTCTGCGACGTTCTATCGTAGTACTCCGCCGACGAGGAGGCGGATGCGGAGGCGGAGGCGTCAATGCTGCTCGTCTTCTGCATGCTCAGATCGCTGGGGGGAATCCCCCGATTGCGACCCACATATCACATTCACCACCAAGCAAGCAACACCCATTCACAATTCACATTCACAATTACACACACCGATTTCAATTCAATTTGATTTGATTTTAGTCGATTCATTCACCCAGAGTGTTAGATAGAGATAGAGACAGACAGAAAGAAAGAGAGAGAGAGAGTGTGTTAGATAAAGCTGGACAATGGGATATATGCTTGGGTCTGCGTCTGCTCGACATTGACATCTACTTCGACTTCGACTTCCTCATCTTGCACAGATAACAATGAATGATAATGATATGGATATATGTACATACATATATATCTGATATAATTATTCAGTGATTTCTAATCAAAATGTACCATTTTGTAAAATACAAACCAGTTCCTGGTATTTATAATCTAATAATATATCTTTGCAGTTTCATTTTTGTATCTTATCTTAAAGTTCGGCAAGAAATGCATTAAGATTGTAAGATTTTATAATTAACTCAGCTAATTTATAAACTGCCGAAAAAAAAGCAATTTATGTGTACAAATGTCATAACTTCTTTGTCTTACATAAATTTATCCGAGATAATTAATCAGTGATAATAGCTTTAAAGGCTAAAATGCCCTTTTAGGGTTCACCATACATAGGGTTTACCACATAAAACCCAGTTTCTGGTTTATATATATTTTTTGCACAGTTTTATCTATTATTTTATAATTTTAACTTTATAATTTTATCGTGATTTCGAGATGTCAAAATTCCAGAAAGAAAATAATTTATGCCCAAAAATGTTTGAATAATCATACATATTTGTTCCATGTGCTCGATAAGCAGCCAGACAAGGGCTTATATTTAGTCTTGGGTCCGGGAAGTATGTGGGCGCATAATGAGATCGGTTCGGGTCGCATTGGTTTTTATGGGTTAAGGGGCGGGGACAGGGGACATGGGACAGGGGACAGGGGTTTGCTGGGGCAGGAAATGCAGGCCTGCATCCATGAGCAGCGGATCAAGCGGGGGAACACGCACCATGGCTCAGGGACACTAAACGGAGACGGAGACGGGGATCCCGCCCAGAATTATGTACTCACGTGGAATGCAGGTCCTTGTAGATGGCTTCGTCCGAATGGGAGCGCTCACTAGGTGATAGCTGCAGGTTAAAGCCACTGAAAAGGGTTTTAAATTTATAAGTTAGTCAAGGATTTAGCTTGATTAAAAAAAAATATATATAAATGTGTTATTTTTCCTATACATATGTTCAGTGTACACACATATTTTATTTTAATTATGTAATTTAATAAATGAGATACTTAATTCATATTGCAGAAGTACATATTTATTTAAAATATAAGTTGGTCCTTGCCAATAATTGGGGACATATTGTTGACTTTACCGACCTTTCCCGATTCGTAGAAAATAATATACATATTGCTTAAAAAATAAATAGTCAAATGTTAAACACATTTTTTTCAACACAAATTTAAAGTATATATTTCAGAAACGTAGATTATTGAGGGAGGAGTAGGGATGTTAAATAATTTTTGTTTCATCATTTATGTTTGAAAATGTAATATAGTGCTCTTTTAATGTCTTACTATATGTACTATGAGTATTAATAATTCATTTAATCTGTTATGTCAATAAATCGTTCAGAAATTTGTTTTTCTTTTCACCCCCTTAACAATCCTCATAAGTCTTGAACCAATGAATCTATAATGCAAATTGCGATCTAGCTCATTGAAACCAAAATGTGGTTGTAAACATGACCGAATGATTAATTTGATTGTGTTATTTTTGAAAAATCGGTTTTGGTGCGCACTGAAGAATTTCAATATTCCGTGCAGGTATTTGCGAAATGCACATAAATCAATATTATTAAATTCCGTGCTATTTAAAGCTAATAGGATGATTAATTTAATTAAATACAAAAAAAATCGATGTAACGAAATTATTCTTTTTTAAAAGGCTGGCATAATAATGATTTTATTTCTTAATATTTTTATCTTCCCGTTTTTTTTAAAAAGTCAAAAAATACTTATAGAGAAAAATACCACACAAAATTAGTGTAGTTCTATAACCTTGATAAACAATTTTTTATTTTTCTATTGCATCAAAAGCTAATCTTAATGCAAATATAATTTTTAAAAAATTACTTATTATATTCCTATTCTCTATGTTTCTTGCCAAAATAATTTGACACTGGACCATTATCTATATGTTTGAATTTGCATCTGAATGTGATTGTATCACATTTGTTGATAGGAATACATTTTGTATTCTTATCAACAAATGTGAAATGAACTGAATCAATTCTGATTCGCTGGGACTTAAAGCAACACTGTCTGAATCTGAGCCAACCTGAGGCTATTATATAGAAACAACAATTCAATTTTAAAATAATAAAATAAA